TCAATACAGACACAAGTTTTTTTATAAAAATATTAAACAAAATAGCGTCGATTTAATCGACACATTATTTTAACAAAAAAAATTATAATTCAGTCCACACGTCTCCGACACAAGCACAAATCTTTTTAATAAAATAAATAAATAGAATAACATCAATTTAACCCTTTTATAATTTTGGTAAAAAATAAAAATTCAAAATTTTAAGGTTGTGTTAGTGACAAATCGAGAAAAGCGATGGAAAATGAAGGAAAGAAATGTGACTCGATAAGATAAACAAAATTGATGTTTGATTAGAAGTACGTAGCATCGAGAAGTACAATCGAGAATCGAGTAAATGATAACCAAAGGCCTGTTATCGAATAAAAAACTAAGTCATATGAGACCAAGGTCAAAAAGGAACCATAAGCAAATTGAAGTTCTCGAAAATACAAAATCGAGAGTGAAGAAAGTCAATGTGGACATCGAGATTCTGCCAAATCATGAAAAGAAGAATAAGTCAAACGCACGTATAGAGAGCAGTTTCGAAACATGGAAGGAGTCGAGGATCGTGAGAACGTGAGAAACTGTAGAAAAAGAAACCGTCATGCACGAAAGAACGTGGTAGCAGTCTTATTAACTGTTCTTGGAAGGCTTGAAGGAGGCCCTATAAATAGAGCAAAGAAGGAAGGAGGGGGGGCGGAAATTGGCAGAAAACAGAATCAGTAGTGAGAAAGTCTACCGGAGAATGACGAACACCATGAAGCTTCTGGCAATCTGGATTTCCATGCTCACCGAGTTCATTTACCGTTTTCTGTATTTTCCTTGGTAATTTACGTTAATTGCAATTTGAGTTCAGTGATTTCATGTTTCTGTACTTTCGATTCATAGTCATTTCAATTCAATGAAAATTTAAGTTTCTGCGTTTAAGTTTCCAGTTATTTATATCTTGTGCACGTTTCGATTTCCTGTCATTTAGTTTTTCATGCAAACTTAACTTCCTGCCATTTACATTTCTGTCATTTCCAATTCCTTGTCATTTACAATTATTGCAAACTTGGGGTTCTCGTACTTTACATTTCCTCGCAATTTAACATTTTGTTTTTCGATTCGATAGTTTTACTACTTTCAGTACTTCAAATACAAAATACCAAAAATAGCTTTTTCGATATCTTGTGATTTTCGATTCTCATGCATGTTTTCGATTGAAAATCGAATTGCTAGCCTAAGTAAAAAGAACTTATGTGGTAGAATTTTGATTAGGACCAAAACACCCTTAGAATCGAAATCGATCGAAATTCCACCAGAAATAGGTTGATTAAGCTAATATTAATTTTTTATACATAAAAAAATAGTGTGAAAACTTTTTTGCTTATTAAAAAAAATTAAAAGTATGTAGTGACTTTGAACAAAAAATTATAATAATTTTTTTCAAAATTCTGTATAAAAATTACTTCTAATTTATGAAAGAGATACTTTTCATTTTTTTTTGGGGAGTAACTTGTCCAAACATATATATTTTGTTTGAAATTAAAATTAAGAATTTGTAAGGTATGTGCTCGCACTACTCGTGATTAATCTTTTTGTTGAGTACAGAGATTTAGCAATAGTTGAGTATGGCCTCAACTCAAGAAATAAATCATTATGTTAGTGTTAGTGGGAAATTGATAAAGGGATCGAAAAACGAAAGAAAGAAAAAATCGAGGATCATATGATTGGTTAAAAACTGATAAATTAAAAAGATGGTTGGAAAACATTCGATGACCATGTAAATATGGACATATGAATCGAGATTTAGAATCGAGATAGAGGGAAAGGCTAACCTACATGACTATCGAAATTTTGGCTAAAGTCAAAGTTCTCGAAATTTGGCATCGAGATCGAGGGAAAGGTTAACCTACATGACTATCGAAATTCTGGCTAAGTTAGAAAAAGAGGAACAGTTAACGCGCACATAGAACATGGGAAGCGGTTTCTAAACCGTGACAGAGATCGAAGGTCAAGGGAGCGATTATCTCATGCATGGGAACGTGAAATACAGTTTTCTAAACCATGGAACTAAGGGACGTGCATGATGGATCGTGGTGGCAGTTTTGTTAACTACTCTTAGGAGGTTACTTGAAAGACGCTCTATAAATAGAGCAAAGAATGAAGGAAAGGAGGAAATTGGCAGAGACAACAGAAACAAAAGTGAAAAAGTCTACCGGAGAACGATGAATCATGAAGTTTCTGGCGATCTGGGTTTCCATTTTCATTGATTGTCTGTATCGCTTTCTTTACTTTCCCTGGTAATTTATGTTCATGCAATTTAATTTGATGCAAGTTTACGTTTAACAACTTTAAGTTTCTGCACCTTCAATTTCTTGTTATTTTACTTTTATGTAAGTTGAGATTCTGCGTTTAAGTTCTTCGCTATTTACACCTATGCAACTTCGATTTCCTGTTATTTACATTTCTGCAATTTCGAATTCCTGTGATTTATATTTCTGCAATTTCGATTTCCTGTTATCTACATTCCCGCAATTTCGATTTCTCGCTATTTACACTTAATGCAAATTTGAGGTTTCCGTTTTTTACATTTCCCTGCAATTTAACATTCCCCACTGCTTTTCGATTCAACGCTTCTTTTACTTTGCATTTCTTAAGAAAAACATCAAAAACATGTACTCTAGGTCATGCCGTTCTACATTATAAGATTCTCGATTCTCATGCATTTTTTCGATTGAAAACTAGTTGCTAGCCTAAATAAAAAGAATCTACATGGTTGAGATTTGATTAGAACTTAACTCCAGATAGATCGAAATCGATCTAATTTTCACCCGTTAGATACAGCATAAAATATTAAAAATAATTATGTAATTTCATCCAATCACATAAAAAATGTTAAAAATAATATGTGAGAAAATATTCTGCTAGCACTCCTAGGTCGGCACAAGTTGCATGCATAACTTTCATGTGGGGCAAATGGCATATAGCAGAATGCTATTTATGTACAAAATTTGGCAAATATTGATTCATATCTTTTAGAGTTGGATACGAACATTAAATATTATAAATATATTTGAAGTTAGATTGGCGTGAGAGAATATAATATTAACTTTAAAAAATTGTAAATTAATTACATAAAAAGATATATTATTATTTTTTATAAAAATCTTAAGATATTATATTTAAGTATATTTCACTTCTTTTTATCTGTTAGAAAATTTTAACTCATTCCTACAAGATAGAATCTTGTTGTATTATTGGCATCACTTTTGCTTTGTACTCTTTTCACTCCTTGTAGAAAAAGTAAAGAATGAAAAGAAAAGAAAAAGGAGTTTTTCAGTGATGTGAAAAAGTCAGAAGCCTCCAAATAACAGGTTTGTGCTTTATTAGAGTGGGCTATACCCATTCTTGCACAGTGCTTTTTGTTTTTAAGTTGATCTTCTGACGATAATAACTGGTATCATAACTATATATATATATATCAATGATTGGAGTCAATCACTTGGTCCCTTTTTCTGGTTGTTAATAATCTTCTCAATTCTAATCAGATAATTTGGTGTATGAAAATCACCTTCTGTTATGTTACCCTTTTAGGCTTAAGAATGATATTTTACAGATTTTTTTTTTCTATTATTTAGCCACCTAGTTCCATTGGAAACATTTCAACATAAAAACATCCATAAATTGCGTAGAAGTCCTCATTTTAGTTAAAAATTGTCATACAAACATCTTTGTGAAATGTGCATTGCACATGATTATGCATGTCATCGCAGAGGCTTTTTGGATAGATAGAACTAAAGTAAATTCTACACTGCTTTATGAGCAGATAAGAATATAACTTTACAAAAGAGAAACACTCTCCCTAATTGAACAATTATTAGAGGTCCAACATCTCAGCCATATTTACTAAATTTTTCTAACTTGCTTTGTCTTTTTCTTACTGTTTCTAGTTTCATACAAAACTTCACATCATTGGGTGGAGTCTGTCTGATTCCTGCTGAAGACTTGTCTGTGTGACACTGAATAAAAGTGTCATGTATGTCTATCATCACAAGGATTCATTACATACAGATTTATTTTCTTCATATATTTTGCTGTAGCAGTATAACCTATAGACACAGCAATTTGCTTGACGTTTTCTTACATATCAATGTATCTTTAATTGGAGAAACTATCATATGATAATATTACTTCAAGTAAAAAGTTAAATTAGACAGTATTAATATTACGTGCTTATATGCATGTCAGTTTTATTATGAAGCTATTTCTCTTCATTAAATGTACAAGACAGTTCAATATATATATATATATATATTACGAGTCGACTTGATTGTTGGAACATTTGTTCCAACTTCTCTTAAATGATGGCAGTTTGTTAAAGTATCTCTGATTTTTTATCATCTATGTTGACACACATTCAAGATATCACATTACTAATAAATAATACTTGTTTTTGACTTTTTTTTTAAGAAAAATAATTTCAAGTTTTAAAAGCTAAAATAATTACTGTTTGATAAATATTATGACAATTATTTTAAAGAGTTGCCTTTGTTTTATTATATTTTAAAAATTTAAAAATATATTTCATAAAATATATATTTTTATTTTTTATTTTCATTAATAATATATATTTCTTATGTGATAAACCATATCATATGTAGGTTAAAACTATTAAAAGTTGCATCTTCGTTATCATCTTCCATTTTCTTCTATCTAAAATAATTTTATAAAAAAATTTACTTATCAATTATTTATATTAAAATTATTTTCAAAATTAAACAAATTAAATTAAGTCAAATAAGATTAACACAAATGTATACTTAAAGCATGAGCTCAAATTCAAATTCATTAATTAAAATGAAACAACTCTTTGTTAGTAACCTGGGTGCTCAACAGGATTCTATGTAATTGAATTCAAAATCCATTAGATTTAATAAAAGAATTTAGGGAAACTAATATTAAATAATGATAATAAAAAAAAAAGTTGAATGAAAAAACAATGGTATCAAGAGGGAAACAGCTGTCGGCAGAGGAAGATGGGAGTTGGTGCTCTCTGAACATCCACTACATGCATAATAAATTCGTACCGGTGATCTCATCCTTCTCACTTGCTAGATTTTTCATATTTCTATTTTCAAGATAGGAAGGAAGTGAGAGTAACTCATCTTTCATTGTTGACTATGGTCACTTTAATTGATTTTGTTTTGTAGCTCCATTTTGGACCACTATGAAAATGACAATCCTTATTCTCCTGTGTCTTCATGCTCAGATAAACGGTGGTTCTGTACACCGAAATGATGCGATGCTCTTATCACATGAAGAATGAATAGGCTACTACGTACATGACCAAGGTTGGTGCCCTTGTTGGTTTTGAGTTAAAGACAAAGATGGTAAATGGGTAGGGTCCCTTGAAGGTTCTTTCTAATTTGTGGACTAATTTGTGGACTATTAGGGGGGTCACCATGTGACTCAAACCCTCCTTAAACAGCTTTATGCAAAGCTCAATTGGCTGTTCCATTTATTTATTCCTTCTTCTACCTTCTTTGGTGCATGCTTTGATTTCTTTCTCTTGCTTTTATCCCTCTCTATTGGTCTCTCATTCCCTTAATATTGAACCAATGAAGCCACAAATTGGTTGGCTTTTCTTTGTTCTCCTTCTTTCCTCTTTTCTAGCTTCTGCCCGTCTCCTTAAACCACCGAAAGGTCCAGGACAAGGTAAACTACATGACATGGTATATTATATTATATGTTTCCTGTGTTTGTCTTTGTTTGCCTCTGAGGTTGGAACATCTTGATATAGGTGAGAAAGAAATGGAGGTCAATGACAACGCTATTCCTCGGTCATCTCTTGAGCTAAAAGATGATATGGAAGAAGTAAGAATACATGTGATGCTTAACCTATCTCCATTTGCATGTTGCTTTCTCACATTTAAGAGTTTAAAACCAAAGCGAAATTGGTTACCCTCCTGATTGATGGATTGGCTTCTTTATGGCCTGTAAAATATTTTCTATTTTTACTATCAATTACAATGTCTTTTTTTTTTTTTTTTCTGATTTCAAACAAAAACTAGTAAAAGAATGGCCTTTTGTTTTCACTTTCTGATCACTATTTTTTATAAAAAAAATTGAAACAGAAAATATTTCTCCTGACCAAAATCCAATAGGTTAATTGCTATCCCTAATTGAATGTCATTTCACTTCATACAGCTAATGGGATCAAAGGGGTGCTATACGAAGGATGAAGCAGGCAGTATCAGAAGGATGATGGTGGAGGCCCACTTGGATTACATCTACACCCAACACCATAAGCCTTGAAATAATTGAACTTCAACTATAGTTCAAAGGCAGAGTATTAAGTATGAGTCCCTGTAAAAAAAAAACTAATAAAACCGTCTTCTGTTTTTCCGGTATTCAAGTTGTGCCTGTCATTGAAAATGAAAAAGGAAACTATTTATCATATAAGGTGTTCGAGATATGTTATGTATTATGTCTGTATATTCACAAATCACAAACGTGTATTATTTATACAGTTATTCCTACATAACTAACTATGAGTAGGCAAGACCATCTTGGTCATTTTGAAAATAGTTTCTCAGTTCCATTTATACCAATTGAATTTCTCAAATGTAGTTAGTAATTACGCTATTTTAGTCTCTTGGAACATATCGCGAGTTAATATCACATTGGCAAGTTTTAACTAACGAATAAAATAATATTGTTAAATTACGTACGAAATGGTAAAATAGAATTTGGTAATAAATAAAAATGCACAAATAGAATACTCAGATACCAAAAGTACAATTGAGTTGAAGTATTTTCGGTATTTGCACTCGAGTGGCCATGGATAAAAACAGATTTTCAGTGACAAGTCATTTAGTCTGTTTGTATGAAAGAATGATTTGTAATTCTAAAACCCATGATATGACAACTTGTCACGAAAATGGAACGCTAAACCTTTTTTTTTTTTTCCTCTTTCATTAACCAGTTGATGTTGCATCTGGCAAAAGAACGATAGTACAATTGCTCAGGGGAACAGGAGAAATATGAGGCCGATAGTTTAGAAAAATAACATAAAATAAGTTAACGAGTGTATAATACGCAAGACATAATTGAAATAGTTTCATTAACTATTAACTGATTGATAACAAGAGTAGCACATGGATGCTAATGAATCCTCTCTAATAAACATTTTGATTTGTTATTGAATTGTTTTCACAAGAAAAAAGGCTTCTTGCACATCTACAAGAAAAACATCACCTCTCATGCGACTCTGCAAAACCTGAATATCACCAACTCTTGTGCTACAAGGAACAGGGAGAAATGACACTAGAAAAAATAAATGACAACAAACGCAAAACGCAAACTCAATGCGTTGCAGAAATTTCTTGGACAAAGGTACAATTCCGGGCGAATATCATTCATTAGGTATATAATTCTCCAACTAAATGCTAGGGATGAAAAAGGCTTATTTACCTAGTAGAATCAACAGTAAACAATAAAGGCTCAGCATCCAGATAGGAAATGTACATCTTTCTTCTTTGATGACCACCAAAAATGAAAAAGTCGGTATTCGACAAGAAAAATAAAAATCAACATTCACTATAGTTCATAGAACCGAAATTTATAACATTAGGAAAGCAATGTCAAGGTAGAAGTAATACTGCAATTCCAAAACCCTAGCGAAGGAGGGGGTGTAAGGAAGATCATAAAAGGGATCCAACATGTGGGATAACTACTGTGACCATAGTGTTCTGCTCCATATTACAACAAGATCTTTAAAAAGCAAAAATCCACTTCAACAAGTAAATGAAGTAATGCAACCACATCAATGAGCAAAAGTTGAGCTGCAAAAGCAATCGCATTTTATATACTTTGAACACTAAGGAATTTACTCTTCCTTCCTGAGTACAAAAGAAGCTAGAGAAAACAACAAAAAGTGCACAAAATTTGTTTGACAGCTTTAGAAACCATTAGAAAAACAATTTAGCATTAAGAGCCATCAGATTTGATAGATTCAAAGTAAACCTCTGTTCCCTCACCCTCACCTTCTAAGTTCTTGCTACAACAGAGCTCCAATGTTATCTTGATTTAATCCTGTCCCTGCAAAATTTAACAGGTCGAGATATTATCAGCAATAAAAGTCCTTTCATTCGAACTATGCCAATAGTGGGGGAAAAGAATGTCAAATAATGTAAAGGAAATAAAAAAAAAAAAAAAAAAACAGATTTTTTTATAGAGGACCTAGGACAACCATTTGAAATGGTCTGGTAAGAGGGCAATTTAAACTTTTAATGCTCATCTTCCATCTGGTATACCAGAGCATAGCAATAAAAAATTTAACCACACCCTCTTTCAAATAGGAAAGGTCATTGAACTTAGTCTAGAAAACCTCGTTTCTGTCGACAAACATCAAGTAATAAGCCTTACCATCTCAAGGACACTGGAAATCAAGTTATCTGATAAGCAACTTGTATGAATGATGGGACCCCTTCCAGTACTCGTATCTCTAATTACCAGCTCACTGTTGCTATCAGAGTAAGCCAAGTAAACAGCCTCTTTGAACATCCACTCACCACTTTCCTGACAGTAAAAATCTTCAAACAGCTCACCACACAACACACACAAGCATTGGTTTTCATCTGCTACAACCATAGCATCCTCTTGACTTATGTCTGCTTCCTTACCATATGTATCTACAGAATCAGCAAACTCATTCTCAGATAGATATTCAGCCTTGCCAGCAATCCAGTCACTTGACTTCAAATACCATCTTGATGCCTTAATTAAACCATTATCTTCTCTTTCCCTACTGGCATGCCACTCCAAGTGTCTATTGAACTGTTTTTGGAATTTAAGCCTAAAGCCACAAATGCTGCAATGGTGTGGAAGATCATCAAATAATCCACTAATAACAGATGAATGGAATTCTCGGATTACATCAGGCTTAAACTCGAACCCAATGAGATTTACAATTCCTGGGCTGGTTGATTCAGACAAGGATATGGGTGTTCTTGCAGTGTCATCTACGTCATCTTTGATAGAATGGACTGGGACAGCTGCAGAACCAGAAACTGAGGCCACAGGCAAAGAGCTACTAGTGGTAATGCTATCACGTTCTTCTTCTAATCTACTCAGCAACTCAGAGGGTACCTTAGTTGTTGACTCTGCTTCTGCAGATATCAAGCCTTTTGCAACTAAAGAGCTTAAAAGGTTTGCAATTGGATTTAAGGTATTATTGGTATCACTTGTCTGTGCTGAAGCACTGCTGACATTAGAGGAAGCAGAAGTTAGCGTAGACGCCCTAGGTGGTTGTCCAGCTTTTCTTTGAGGTATTTTTGAGAGGGCAGATAAATTATCACTGGTAGGGCCTAATGAAGATGGTGATGAAATTGTGGAAACTGACGAAATTAATGTGACAGGGGAAGGACCATCTGATCTTGAAAGCCGAACACCCAATCGAGTTGAAAGATTCCCTGTACTCATGCTATTTTTAGTTTCTCTGGCTAAAGGAACTTTGGACACAGGTGGCTTCTCAGTCTTAACAGTAACTTCATTGTGAGAAGTGCTCAATTGCTGCTGATGCCTAGCCTTAAAAGTCATTGAAGAGAATGGACCCTGCAAGGTTTTCAGTTGTGATCTTTGTAAGTTATCATCCTGAATATTAGGGCGAAGGGCAGGTGAAGAATCCTAATATAGTGGCTCTGCAGACCTCCCAGAAATTCAGATACATAATAAGTCTGGGGAAAGTCTTGCTCAGCCAAATTTTGCAGTGGATGAGAATGGTGCATACTTACTGGTGGTGATGGAGACCTCTGTCGCAAAGGTGACTGCCCTGAAGGGTTTTCAGCTCCCAACGAATGAAATGGTCCTGAAATTCCTGGCAATCCTGTGGTTGCATTTGACAGGTATGGCTGATTCCCCATCCTGGCAGTCGAGGAATTTGTATTGGATGGTATTGCACCTAGTGTGGACACAAATCTGCCCGAGTGACCAGCCTTCCGATTCAACTCATCAATAGAGTGTTGCTCCTGCAATTGCCATGATAGTGACGGATGATGACGAGAAGCAGGTAATTGTTTCTTTTCAGTGGCTTGAGATTCAATGGCTATTTCTCTATCAACATTTACCCCAAAAGGATTTCTGACTGGTAGGCGATCTTCAACTTCCTGCACATGAAAAAAAATATATACATAGAACAACATAATATTAACAATGCAAAAGGGCCAGGATTATTGTATTAACTGGTGAGTCAGTAATTTAGTGATATGTGTTTGAAGGGATTTCGGGTTTAACTGTCAGTAATTAGGAAATTAGGGTCCGGTTGTTTGGGTCCCAGACTCCTAGGCTATGTGATCCCAATTCTAGGTACAACTTCATTTATTTTTCTTCTTTTTATTAAGATTTTAAGAATCCTTTAAGCTTGGGTTGTATCAATTAGAGTGTCCTGGCCACCTACAGTTGGCATATTATTTTATCCTATAACTCAATTTTATATAGAATTTTTCAAATAAATCATGGTTTCTAATACCAGCCCTTGGTCCCAGTTCTGTTATTTTAGAATATGGGTCTGGATCTAACTCAAAGGTGAGAGTTGTCTCTCAATATATACTTTTTTAGGCTTTATCTCTGGTCAGTGTAAGAATTGGGTTTTTCACAATACAACCTTCATGCCAAGAACTATTGTGCATGGATAATACTCCCCCTCTTTTAATGAATCTAACTTTAGAATATAGATTTGAGCCTAATTCAACAAGCATTTGAGATCACGACTGTTCTCCTTTTATATATGCTCTTCAAGCTTTATCTCTAACCAATGTAGGAGTTAGCTTTTTTTCCAACATGTTTTGCATCATTTTGATACCCATATCACCAAATAGTACCAAGCTTACCAAATTATCATCAGCAGTCCAAGCATCTTTGCTCAAGTTGTTAACAGTGGATGCACCATGACCAGTCAAGCCAGAGTTCATCTCATCCCATGTGTACTCCTCTTCCTCAGAATTTTTCCAGCTATTCGAGATCACACTGCTCTGTGTTATGTTTGGTGCTGATTGATGATGTGCATCCAACGTCATGGACTTTGGTGCTTCAGTATTCAAAAAACTATACTTGAGACTCAAACCATTTCTTTGTCCAGACATGGTCCCTGCAACAACACCAGATTTGTTGTACCAACCTTTGTCATGTCCTGACTCAGTCACCCTACCACCAGGTCGGCTGATACCCAAGCCCAAATTCCTTGAAAGATTTGAACCAAATTCATTGCTTCCATAAGTCGCACCAGTGCTCTTCTCTGGAACAGAATCATTGAACGCATCTCTACGAGCACGCTGATCATTCTGTAATATAGATTATCACATTAAATCATGACAACTGACAGTGAATGGAATAAGGGGAAAGAAATTTTACTTCATGTAAATTGATGTTAACAGTTACATTAGGATCCACCCATGGTCGTACAACACCCAATGTTCTACTCGGCATCTCTTGGTCATCATTTGAGTTTGACATTGCTCCAGTGATATCATCAACAACTCCTTTAGTCTTTGGGACAGAAAAAGTAGATGCTAAAATAATTAAGCACTGGAGATGTGAAATAAAAAATAATATGGCAACAAGTAACATGACAAAATCTCTTTCACTATAACAGTTAAATTATCAGCTTTGCAAGGCTATCGTTGTATGGATAATTCTAGAACAGTGACAGTTATAGGAAGTTAGCTCTCTAACAAACACATCCCAACTGGGGGAAGAGTTTAATGTTTCCAAGTTTATGCCTCAAAGCTAGTGTTGGTTGACAAGATGTATAAATTGGAGTTGTCTACTATAACCCACAAGACAAATTGTCAGCCAAAAAAGTGTTTCATGAATGATAAGGATAGTTAAGATTTGTCAATTAATCAATTGGAAAAGTTCAATACAGAATACACATTAATATTGTGGTGTCCCAACGAGCAACAAAACATAATTAAAATATGATGTAATGTTTCCAAATCCATTTTCATCAAGGAATGAATTCATAATCCAATTCATGATAACATAAATTCTGTATTTGTATCATGTCTAGACCTATCCCAATTATATCAATGTTTTAAAACATTGAAGGATAAATTTGAAGTGCAATCATTCCACCTACCCTGCTGGACTGCTGTAGTCGTTGTCTTTCTAAATACTTGGGATTCACATGGATACTATGAGGTGGACGCTGTGACTGTGAATCACTCTTCAGTGTAGTAGAAACAGAAGATGAGCCATTGACAGCAGAAGTGAAGCCCAATTCTTTCTCAATAATATGAAGGGTCTGAGGAGGAAATACTCCTTTCCAAGTTCCAAAAAGATGCCTCATACTTTGGTGAACAGAAGGATCAACCTGTCTGTATGCTTTGCAGAATACCTAAAATGTAAAGGAGTAATTAGAAACTACCAACTTAAAAATAGACATCTAAAATCAGAAAAGGTTCTTAAGCAAGACAAGCAGCACATGAGTACTTGCATAACGTAACTACTGGACGTATGCAACATAGACCATCATAGACAAGTATAAGATGATGATTACAAGAGGGAAGAAAAATGAAATCAACAACAGATTAAGAATAAAAGTCTGACCTCAGGTAGCCTGGCAGCAAAGTATTTTATATAATCCCTCCCAATATTCTTAACAATACTGTCTAAGAGATAAAGTGATGGCAGCTTTTGATCACTAGGAACCTGGAAATTCATTAACACAATTCATGAAAAAAGACATTTTGAGTATTACAAAAAGATTAATGACCAAAGAACAAGAACAAGACAGCCTGCAAAGTAACAGAAACTAATAATATACTGCTTGCGCATGGAAAAATGCAGTAAATAAAATGAAAATCCAGAAATAGTATATCAACAGCAATTGGATCTAAAATTACACAAGTTTCCATAACATTCCAAGAATGTTCGAAATTGTTAATTATTTCATTCCATGGTTCTAGTTGCCTCTAACAAGTCAAGGTCCTGTAGTAAGGAGACAAATAACAAAAGTAAACAAATGAAGAAAACAGGCTAAAGATTTTTATTGGTAATTTGGATCATATATTGCCCTTCATGGAACAAGTGAAACATATAAGAAAAGCCAAAACAATACAAGATGTATCACAGAAGTCTTTGAAAACTCCAGAATATGAAACATCTTAGCCACTATCTCAATTCCTGTAATAAAAAGAATGGGTTCAATCTTTGAGCTCATAATAAGTTCCAACTTTCACCCACCATTTGATTTAAATTGACTTAAAGGGATGCCTTTCTGTTATCATAAATTACATGCTACATGTAAATCCCTCAATCAAAGCAAAACTGCTAGTAGAAAAATGGAATGATAAAATTACAATGTCTTTGTACAACTTGGCTATACAAATTCTCTCTAAAATATAACCACCACCACCACCCTCAATAAAAAGAAAAAAGAAAAGAAACTTCAGGTAAACTGTATTTTTCCCACAACCTAAAAAGAAACATAAACCAGAGAGGTAAGACTTGAAACGATGCATTGGCTCGTGATCTACATAGTGCCAAAATACTGCAAAATTACAATGCATGTTACAAATATAAGACTTGGAGAAGGGAGACGGAGAGAGAGAATAAATTTATTGATATTGACAACAATAAATTGATAATTTCTTTCCTCATATACTGTGTTCACCTAAATTCTTTTAAAGATTCATCTCCCCTTGTGCATACTTAGCAAGAAAATACCAGGACAACTGTGGTTTATCACTCTGTTATAATGCTGCCTGTCTGTTGCAAATGGATTACCAAACTGCCATAATCTTGCAGATTGAAGGATGATAACCTTTTTAATTCTAATTTTATTTTGATTGCAGAGCGATACATACATACATATATATATATATATATATATACACACAGATAAAAACCTTGAGTGGACCAATGAAATGAAATTGGAAAATCATAATAAAGCCCATTTCCAGACATTTGTTCTCTTCCCATGGCAACTGCGATCAAAACACTAAACTATCACATTCCATTGATACCAAACATTACAATATTGTCGCTTTCTCCAAAAGGTGCTTTGCCACACCACATAGCATAAGATGACACTATTCATCACAATATATGAACACCAACATAATATAAAAAAACCGCTTTCCTTATCTATTCCAAGTATGTTACAACAATTTTCTATCAAGAACACCATCATAATATAAAAAGTGCCTTTCCTTTTCTATACTTTTAATTCAATCAGCAATTGGCTACATAACCCTAACAAAACAACAATTGAACAGAGAAACAGCTGCACAGTACTATAAACTAAGTTCACCTCTAGAATGTTAGCACAAACAGTTGCTGCAATGGCCTTCTCCGCAGCTTGGTTCTCCCCTGCAATGATAGTCAAGTTGGTAATTATCGGTTTCGAGTTGAAAGTAAGTTCGGCAAGAGCTGCCTTATACTGAGTAACAAGCTCCTGAAATGGCAGTGGTTGTGGCTGATAACCACCGCCACCAGCACCACCTGGGCGACCAAAATCACTGCTTTCAAGACCTCTTTCGTTTGTTCTAAACCTTGCAGACGACAACGTCGTAATCGCAGAAGCCACTTGTCGATGAGGAAACTGTCTGGCACCCGAATTTGAAGCCCGATCCAGCTCTTCCATCAATCGGGGCTTCTTTGAACCCAGTTCTCGTGATCTATCAAATGGTCTACGCGAGTTCTCCATGCCCGCCAAATCAAAGTCCCAAAAACTAAAAATTAAAATAAACCCTAATTTACATACAATTGATGTAAAATCTAGATTACAATATGAAAATTGCACAGCGGCTATTGTATTATTTACATCAAATCAGAATAAATCGAAATAAGCGAAGAAAAATTACAAAATTAAAACAAAAAACTTAATTCTAAATTGTACAATGATAATAGAAATAAAACCCTAATTCCAGTAGGCACAGGCGAAGGAGAAGAACAAGTAACAAATAGAACAGAGAGGGTTGGGTGCCCTGAAAATTTGATATTGTGTGTATAAAGAGAAAAATATGGGTTCGAACCCGACAGGGAAGAGATGAAATAACAGTGACAGAGTAAAGCCGGTTTTTTGACGAAGACTTTTTTTTATCTTCTTTTCTCCACGAAGAGGCTTTTTTATATGGATGGATTTAGTTCTAAATCTCTGCTGTTGTCTTCAACTTGACTCAAAATTCTGTTGTTTTTATATTTTTGCTCTCACAATTAATGACGATGACACTTATGAGGATAGGTGGGTGTGTGAGACCATCTTCCAAATATAGAAAAAAAAAATGGTGGATTTAGAGTTCGGATGTACATGTGGCTGCCAAACTGGACTTGTCCACTCATTTTAATCATTCAACTCCACTCATTAAAAATGTTAAAAGGATTATGTTATGCCAATACTCTTACTCGGGGAGTAGAATTAACTTTGTTGAATTTTTTTAAAAATATTTAGTGTATTATTTTACGTCATAATTGTTTTTTATTTAAAATCTAACATGATAGAAAGAACTAGAAAATGGAATGGTACTAAAATAATTTTCCTAGAATTAGAAGTAATTTTTACATTGTGATGGTACTTGGTGGGAAAATGTGTGGGATAAGAATTACTACATAGTATTCGTGATGTTGAAATTGTTTATTAGTTTTGGAACACAGAATTATAGGATTATTATTTTTCATTGACAATTGACCGAATTATAAGTAAGTGTAGTTATTAAAATCTCATGAGAATAATTTTTGTAGAATGAGTTAATAATTTTTAAAGTTAACATTTAAATAGTATCACTTAGTTATGATGAATTATTTGTGTTGTTTACTTATTATGAATGAAATTGTTAGTGTTTTGAATATCCATTTGTAATGATTGTGTATTTGATGTGAATTAAAGTGAATGATAGCATGTTTGATGATTTTTACCACCTATTTCATTATTATAAAAATAGTAGATATATTATTGCACATTTTTTAAAAACTTGACAATTAGTGGCTTGTGGGAGGACATGTGTGTGATGAAAGAGGAACAAGTATTAGCTTAAATGATGTTATGGTGTTAGATAAAGTTGACTATATATATGTGTGTCAAGTTGAGTACCAATTTTCTGAAGGTTTGGAGTAATGAAGAGGTTAATACTTAAATTGTCATTATGGGTGAATGTGATTAAGAAATGGTAGAAAATGCATTGATTAAAGATGTGGACTCAAGATTAACTTGATATTTACTTTCTCTTTTTTATCATAATTATATATATATATATATATATATATATATATATATATTAAGTGAATATTATATAATAATATGTTATATTTATGTAAAGTAAGATTTAATATTACGATTTAATAAATACATGCAATCTCATTTAAAATTTTGATTTTGACAATCTTAATATCGTATCACTAAAGATAGGAAGGAAGTTAGGTCACTCAATTAATATTAGCCTACAATTTAAGTGTTCATGTATGAAGAACTAAAACTCAAAATATAATAAATTATCAAATTCAACTCCCAACCACAAACAAAAAAGTAGAGTAGAGGAACGGGAAACAACTACACTATCTTCTTTGCCTAATACCGTACCATCATTTGGTCTATATCTTCCTCATCCACATCAAGATTTTGTTGCCTATAAACATGAACTTCATTGCCTCTAAGCCTCCAATCTTTTTTGTTATACCATTCATCTCAATAACATGTCCTTTCTAGATAGCATGAATTTCTTGATTTTCCCTTAATATTGTTGGTGTCATAGTTCTTCCATAACAACAAACTCTGCCAGACTTATCTTTTTCAAAAATTGATTCAAATATTTGTTCCACGGTTTCAGTTGAGTTATGAATTGAACTTTTCAGCTTAGACTATAAAAAAGAGAATATCAATGTTAATAAATAAAAGTGGAGCTTTTAAGACATACTTTATAAATTTAACTAAACTTACAACAACATCCAATGTTTCTTCATCCACTGCCTTTTCTTTTCGACCTGGACGATCTTGACAAGTCTTAATAAACATTTTCGTTGATTTCTTCTTATTTTTTTTTTCAACCCTCTATTAATTAAAATTAAAAATTAAAAACAAAACATACTAATGTGAAGTATTAGATTTAGAAGATGAGACATAAGCAAATTATAAAACCAATTTCACTTGAAATATAACAAAGTTGATTGGACCCATATGATGTCAGTATTTTTGCTTATCCTGTTCATTGCATTATTCTTATTAATGCCCTATAATTTGGATAAAAAAAAAAGAGTAAAAACATGCATACATTACTAATCATAAAACAAATAATGTAGCCAAATAACCATTGAGTTGATGAAAAAACACAGTCAAATGACCCATAATTGTCTCTAAAGTACTGGCCCAACCCCTGCACGTTTCTTTCTTTTACTCACCCGAACGAAGCTGATTCCCCAAACTCTAGTAATGAAAATTTGAACAATACTTGCAGTGCTAAAATCTGAAAAAGATTATTTATTGCGCAAAGTAGTTTTTGAAGTGACTGAAAATTGAATTAACTGAACTGAATTATAGAATTGTTTAAATGAACTAACTAAATTAAACTGATCCAAATTGCTTCAACTATTTAAATTATTTGAGCCTTATTTTAAATAAAGCATAATTTTACAATCCTATAAGTTATAGATCTGGTCGCTCTATAAGTTCTAGATCTGGTCGGTTTAAATATTTTATTTTGATTACTTCTTAGATATTTTAAATAAAAATTAATAAAAGAAAAATTCTCACAAATATGACTCAACTGTAATAATAAAAAAAATATATAACATATCTTCAACCCGATACTCAAAATATTAAATTATCAGTTTTTTCTTTTACAAATTATTCAACCTTCCTCCCTATTTCTAGTGGGATATTAACTCACTTGACTTCTCATCCCTGTTATTCAATGTGGGACAATTGACCCATTCCATCTTGTGATAGGTATTTAATTTCACAACATACATATTCTTTTTGTCAAATTTTTTGGGTGGCGCAGGAAGAGGGGAATATAATGATACTGAAGCAAGGGGATGGTTGCAGGATTCTAATCTATTTTTTAAACATTATTTTGTCATTGATTATTTTAGTAAAGGAGAGATTGAGGGGGAGGGGGAAGAAAGCCTCTCTCTGTGGGGCCTTTGATATCCTAGTAAAAGAGAAAATATTCTTCCAAAAATATCTAGTTTCTAGACTGTCTTCCCTTAACTTTATTTTGAGCCAAGCTGGATGGTTTATGTAAACAAAACCAGTAGCTTCATTTGTATTGAAGTTTATTTTCTGGGTAGGAATACGTTCGTATATTGTTGTTGCATGTATAACAGGTCAGCGTTTCTTCTTAGAGGGGATCGTTGAATATTTGTTATTGCTTCCATTTAAGGCCTCACTATCTTCCCATGGTTGAGTAAGTCATACATTAATAGGAATTACTTTTTATAATTTTCTATTTACATTTCTATAAGTTATAGTCTCACTTCAGGAAGCATGGTTTTAAACAAAAAAAAAAAAACCTTGGAGGCAATGACTTACTTCATTCAATTCTCTGCTACAACAAAATGAATGCAGGCTCAACAAAATAGTTGCAGGGCAGCAACATTTTTCGAACACAAGGGAGGTTTTCTTTCCAATTCTAGGACCACAAATAAAATCTCATACTTTAAATGTGGAACTCAAACCCCATACCTTGCACTTGGATCCTAACAACTTAAGAAGCTGGGGTGTGATGTGTTAGCCGAGTTAAAAAAATCTGTTTAGTTTATAGTAGCTTGGCATTTCACAATATTTGGCAGGAGAGATTTGAACACAAAGAAAGCAAGTTAGCCTCATTTTTAGACTTCAATTAAACTTATTCTTTGTTCACAATTTTCACTATTTCCTTCTTATTCTTTATATTATTCTGAGTTAAGCAATGATTGTGTAGGTAGCTTTCAAAATTAGCCCGTCAGAAGATTCAATTTTAGACCTACATCAAAGTTTATATTTATATTTTCTTTATCAATCCTATTTTCTACTTGAAAATCCGAATCGATTGGTTAAACCGGTTTAATACCAAATTTATATAGAATTTATTTTTAAATAATTGAATTTTAATCAAATCGTAATAAAACTGAAAAAACTAGGATAATTGAGTGGATTTGTGGATGAACTGGTAAAAAAAATTAACATCAAAACTTTTTTAATATAATTTTTATATAAAAGATATAATATATTTTAATTTTCTTTTTCTTTTTTATCTCATATTAATTATATCAACTTTAATAATAATTATTCATCTTAATTATATTTTTATCTTATTTTAATAATTATTCATTTTATATTCTCTAATATATTTTATATTTATAATTTTTATTGTAATTTATGGTGACAATAATCATTATTATTTTTCTTTTTTTATAAAAAATATTATTAATAATGAATTTATTATATATTTATTATAATATAAAAACATTATTTTAATAAATCAAGTTAAATTCTAATTAAACTTTTGATTAAAACTTTGAATTCTAAACTCATATCTTTATCGATACACGGATCGATCCATAAACAAAAAAAGGGAAAATACATATTGTTTTATCAATTGTTCCTTAAGTCACAAATTGAAAGTTAGGTCACCACAACTTAACAAAATTTATAAAACACCCGGAGAATCAACACATTGTACAACCATGTCAAGAAAAAAGAAGTCATTAATACAATTTTAAAAATAAACTAGAGAAGATATGTGAAGTTGTTACAACCTCAAAATGTATAAAATACATATTAAAATCATTGGAAAAGAACATTCTTATCTTTTCTATGTAAGATTTTATTATTACAAGCAACAACTTGTCCCATGCTATTTGTCTTACTCTTACTATAAATTCATGTTGTGAAATCTTTTTTATAAGATACATAATAGGTGAGGGGAGATTTTAATTGTTTTTAAGAGAATGACTAAAGATTATGTACTCAAACTCTAGTAGCTTGCTAAGAACAAGTCATAAAGATAATTGACTTCCGTATTAGCTATTCATGTTGGAAAATACAAGTGTGAATCTAAGAGCCACATTAAGTAAGAATGAGAAAGTTCAGCAACCTATAAGAAAGTATTATCCATAACTCAATCCTTAAGATTTTGGATTGAGAGTAGTGTCACTACTTTATGAGGTTTACTAGATTTACTTTTGAGTACGCTTGATGTGATCAGTCTCCAAGTGGGAGATTGTTAAGTATGTAGAGTCTGATGGGTTATTGGGCCTGATCCATTTATTTATTCTTTTATTATAAATACTCATGTAATTGCAAATCTAATTAAGTAAAAGAAAACTATTATCTAGTGCAGTCATGGACGTAAATCATTTTAACTGAATCACGTAAATTCCTTGTATTTTTGTTATTTACTTTCATCTTGTAGTGTATTTGTGTTTCCCAACAATTAAGTATATTACCATGTAAACAAATCAAATCCAAGGTGAAGTGCCAATAAATATAAAATAAGGAAGAGTGCAAATTATAAGAAAGCTAAACAGGTTTCAAAACTTAAATGTAAATGGTTTCTATATTACCCACTATAATGAAAACATGACACTAGAATATGCTAATTAAAACATCGGGATGTAGACTAAAATGTAAAAAAAAAACTTAGCAATAAAAGAAAACATGTTTTGACCATGTTATAGATGTGATGAAAATTTCCTTTAGGATGTGATAAAAATAATCCTTCTCGAGATGATGAGATGTGATGAAACATTACCTTCGAGATGAGGAGGTGTGATGAAATCTCACATCGACTAAAGATATAATAACATTATAATATATAAGTAAGTACAATTTTCGTCCGATTTTGTAGAATTGAGTTAGATATCTCATTGTTTTTAATATGGTATCAAAGCCTATTCTAGTGATTTTGGAACACAACAAATCCTCCTCGAGAGGAAATGTAATCAAATCCCCTAACAAAAGATACAATAATTGAATAAACTCCATTAACTCAATCCCCGATGAAAATCATTAACGATGACAACCAAAGTCTTACTGTCAAGTGCACCTCTATGCCCAACAAAAATTGAAAACCTTAAATCGCTCATCTCATGTTTTCTTCAATGACTAAACCTAAAATTTTCCGTGTGTCTCTCTCTCATCATCAACAAAACCCTAAATAATTCTCTATCATTCTCTTTAATAAACCCAACCCCTTCTCGTCAATGTAAATGTGCATAAAAGTGTAATGGTAAATGGAATACAAAACCTGAAGGTAAAAAGACGAACACAAAACATGCACTGAAAAAAGTGTTGATGAGAGGGAGTTGAGCTATTATGCTTTCATAAGTGGTTGTGAATTATTTTATTTTCACGCTTCATTAGTTATTGGCGTAATATAATTTTATTTTCTAACATGTCTTTACTTTGTCTGCTTTTAAATGTACATTTACTTTTAAGTCATACGAAACATTTGATATAGGTAACCTTTAAAAAGTATTGCTTGTAAATAGGCCCTCCCTATATGAACCCATCCCTACTCAACAAGTCTTTCAAATGTTTGATTTTCAAGTGGCAAATGAAACTCAATCTTCTTTGTCTGGCCATATTAGTGGATACAATAACAGAAAAAAAATCTTAATACTTCTAGAAGGTGATGGGTGAATAATTTTTTTATTGAATTATTTTAACTTTCTTAACATATAATATGATTTTTATTGTCGTATATAGGTTTCATTAACACAAGTTGGTAGTTGGGGCAATTGCTTCAATCATTCGCTCTAACTTGGAAGAGGCAAAGCCATCATGAAAGAAGTTATCCATAGATTAAAGGAATTCTTGGTTTGATATATTCAAAGTAATTAATTTTTAAATTTTGATTAAAATATTTTATTTATTTTTGGAAAATTTCTTTAGTATAATCATTTTTTTTCATTTTTCTCAAAAATAATGTAGTCAAAATTTTCTTGGTCACCTTAATATAACGACATAGTGCGACATAACTTTGAGAGAAAAGGTGCATCTAAAATGTCTCAATTAATGCAAGAAGTTAGAAAGGATCTAGAGATAAAACCCATTTGGATGAGAGAGGATGTGTGGGACAACAACTAAAGACACATTGGGAATATGCAAGTTTCAAAAAGAAGTATGAAATAAATAAAAGTAATCGGGTATCTTTGGATGATGCATCTCTTCATACAAGTGGATCAATACCTCATCACTTACATTGGAAGAGAATTGTATTATTACTTTACTTTGTTTTTTATAATTTACATTTTAGAATTAATAACATTAAACTTTCTTTGTTATTAGAAAGAGGACAAAGGAGTAGACCCATCATTGACTGAGTTTTAGTTTTGTACACATCGAAGAAAGAAGGATCAAAGTTGGGTTAGTCCTCATGCCAAAATTGCTTTTGTAAGTTTTCAATTTGATAAGCACATTGGTAATGATAAGCACACAGTCAAATATGAAAGTAGTTATCTATTCAAGTGTGTGTTTAGTCAAACCACAAAGAGGACTTAGATTTGCTAATTGGAGAAAATCATATTACACACTCAAACCACAAATTGTTTACTTAATGATTGGAGAAAAACACAACTTCATATCGAAAACATGTTAGGAACAAGACAATAATAAAGGAAAGAATAAAGGAGAGAAAAATAAACGACACAAGAATTTTAACGTGGTTCGGCTAAAATATGTATGCCTACGTCCACGACTACACTAGGAAGTATTTTTATTTCTGTGTATATCTCAAACTTTACATAGGGTTGCTTATATAACAAAATAAAGAACCTCATCTCACAATCCTAATCGATGTGGGACTAAATCAAGCACCATAATACTAACAATTCTCCCACTTGGAGTTTGATTTACGTTACCACCTAGTGTAGTGCCTTCATCATCAATTTGCTCGAAGGCCGGTTGAGGCAATGCAAAGCCTCAACTTAGTTGTTGTAACGATCTTGGTCAACATATCGGCGGGATTCTCCGCACTGGAATCTTCAACAAACTCAAGTCTCCATCATTTATCGGGTTTCGATAAAATGATACTTCAATTCAATGTGCTTACATCCGGAATGAAGGATTGGATTTTTAGCAAGACAAATAGCACTTTGATTTGTCACTAAACAACGGAGAACCATCTTGTTCTCTTCCTAATTCTTTTAGAAGGTTCTTCAACCATATCATCTCCTTTCTTCGCTTACGAGATAGCTACATACTCGCTTCGAGTGGTTGAGAGAGAGACCCTTCCTTGAAGTTTAGACTTCCAACCGATAGTTGTACCACCCAATGTAAAAATATAACCTTGTTGTGCTCTTTCTACCGTCAAGATCACCTCCCAAGTCTCGCATCAGAAAACCCCTGTAAAATGAGATTACTTCTCTTGAAAGACAAATGCATCTTTGAAGTGCCTTTCAAATATCCGAATATCCACTTCACTCCTTCCCAATGCTCCTTTCAGGGATTTGATAGAAATGCGCTCACAACTCCCATTGCATGTGCTATGTCTGAGTGCAGTGCAAACCATAGCATACATCAAGCTTCCTACTGCGAGATGCATATGGCACTTTAGACATGTGACTTTCTTCTTCTTCGTTTGAGAAGATTGCCTCTTTGAAAACTTTAAGTGAGTTCCCAAAGGTGTATTCCTGGTTTTAGCATTCCCAACATTGAATCTGCTAAGCAATTTTTCTATATATTTTTCTTGAGATAAGTTCAAAATACCTTTATCTCTATCTCGGGAGATTCTCATACCAAGAATTTGCTTGGCTGGACCAAGATCCTTCATTTCAAAGCTCTCCGACAATTATTTCTTCAACTTGTCAATTTACGCCATATTAGCTCCAACAATCAACATGTCGATCAACATATAAGGCAAGAATGATATAGCTATCAACATATTTCTTCACATAACAACGGTGATCTTCTTCACATCTGCGAAATCCCGAGTTTCTCATAAACTCATTAAACTTCTTGTACCATTGTCTCGGCGCTTGTTTTAATCCGTACAAACTTTTATGAAGCTTGCATACAAGATTTTCTCCGCCTTGTACTTCAAAACCTTTTGGTCGTGTCATAAAAATTTCCTCTTCAAGATCCCCATGTAAGAATGCGGTTTTTACATCTTACTTGCTCCAAATGAAGATTTTCTGCAGCCTACTATACTCAAGATAACTCGATGGTAGTCATCTTGACAACAGGAGAGAAAATTTACGTGAAGTCAATTCCTTGTCTTTGTTGGAACCCTTTCACTACGAGTCTAGCCTTATATCTTTTGCTTGCCATCTGGTTCTTCTTTCAACCTATAGACCCACTGTTTTGCAAAACTTTCTTTCCTTACGGTAGCTTGGTTAAAGACCATGTTTTATTCTTCGAAGGGACTTTATCTCATCTTCCATTGCTAGCTCCCACTTAATAGATTCATCTCCCTGCATAGCCTCAGCAAAATGCTCCGGCTCACCGACGATCGGTCAACAACAAATAATGCAATGAAGGGGAATACCTTTGTGGTGCTACAATTGTTACGCTAGATCTTCTAACCAAGATTTCGGGAGTTGCTTGACTCTACTATTTGTTCGGAGTTACGTCTCGGGCTCGACATAGGCTCTACTTGTATATTACGCCTTCGGTTGACTACATCACTTTACGAAATTTCTTCTAATGATACTTGCTCTAGTTGTTTATTTACATTTGCGGATCTCGCAATCTCGTCTCTATAGAACATGTTTTCATTAAAAGTAACATTTCTACTTCGATAATTTTCTTGTTTTGGTCATCCCAAAACACGTAGCCAAACATGTCGGATCCATAACCAATGAAATAACAACGTTTTGCCTTAGGGTCCAATTTATCTCTACTATTAGAGTCTAACATAACATATGAAGCACTAACCAAAAACTTTCGGATGTGAAAGATTTACCTCTTTTCCGAGACCATACTTCTTCGGGTAACTTATAGTCTAAAGGAGCCGATGGTCCTCTCGTTTATGAGATAGGTCTGTT